ATATTAACATGTCTCCGTACGTGTGTGCGTGTGTGCGTGTGTGTGTGTGTGTGTGAACTTTGTAACATTTTATGTGACTCATTGCGGAAAGGCTTGAATTAACTCCACAACAAATACATCAAATAATCATTGCGAAGGTCCTTACTGTAGTGTTTCTCACCAATGTTATCTGAGATCTGCTTCCTGACTGTCTGTCACTGTGTTGTTTATCAGACGCAGCACAAAATCAGGACACACTCTGAAATGGGAACGTTGGGCGGGGAGAACTAGAGCGTTTGCATTAAAGGAAAAGGCAAAAATGCAATATTCTGAAAGCTGTAATAAATGATTGAATGGGTTTTTTGAGCTAAAACTTTACAGACATATCCTGTAGACACAAAAGCCTTATCTTAAAGGGCCATGAAACCCCCTTGTTTCAACAGGGTGTTTTCACACCTCTACTTTGGAAAAAGTCCGGAAAGTGGGCGTATCCAGCTCTGTTTAGGGGGGAGTGTCGGAGGAGCAAAAGAGGGATGATATGGGAGTGTGGATTTGGGCAAGTGCTGTTTTTTAGAGTCAAAACACACACAGAGGAGAAAGTGACTGTGTTTAGTTGGACATCTGTAATCTAATTGTTTGAAAAATTATTAAATGGTGGACTTTCACTGCAGTTTGGTTCTTTCATTTAGAAATTTCATTCATGCCCCTAGAGACAAACGAGATATTTGATTCAAGGAGCTGCTCTAAGCGTTTATTTTTCATGCCGCATGGCGAATGAGAGAAAAAAAAACTCAGCATTTCCCGGAAACTTAGATGCACTCGGCAGGTAGCATCAGAAAGCCGTGTGTGTTATTCCGGTCACAAAATGTCGTGAGAAAATCCTACAGGATTGAAGTTTGGTTGTGGTGCTAACATGTTTACACTCGGTGTAATAGTTAGTTTGATACGAACTAACTGCCATTTGAATAAACAAAGACCACTAGTGGCTCACTTACAAAATCTGTAGAGACAGGACAATCACCATCAACTAGAGCCACATCTTTATGAAGAGGAGACGAGCAGCAAGTCTCACCATTTGCAGATGAGAAAAGCTCTCGGGTGAACAGTGTTCCTTAGACGCGTATTGTTGTTGAGCGTTGCGTGCTTTGTAATCCACACGTGAGTCCAGCTGCGCTCTCATAGAGAGAAAATGGAAAAAAAACCTTCACTGCAGCAAATTATAATCAAGCCTTACTCGTGCATTAATGCAGCACACTCAGAGACGTAATACGTTACTCCCAGGTACAGACGTCCAGTCTACATGCTGGAATACACGCTAAGATCTCATGGCTGTGACGCAGCTTCAAAAATTAGTTTCCAACCGGAAGTACGAATTTGCTCAAAATAATCCAAGAACAACCAATTTTCACTTTTTAGTAAAATATATGTGTCCTAATTGTGTTTTTAGCAGTGTGGGACACATATACGACTGTCAATGGCTCAGAATGTGTATTGCTGTATCATGACTCTTTAAATTTAGTAAAAGGGGTAAAATATGTGCCCTTTAAATAAAATTTTGTTCTGTCATCATTTACTCACCCTTTACTTGTTTCTTTCAACACAGAAGAAGATATTTAGAAGAAAGCTAAAAGCCTGTAACTACTGACTTGCGTAGCATTTCTTTTTCCTACTGGGTTACAGCTTTCTTCAAAATATCTTCTTTAGGATTTAACAAAATAACTTTTGATTTGGAACAACTTAAGTGTGAGTAATGAGATGGTTCATCCCAAAACAATTTAATTTAATGTCATATGGATGGCATTTATGTGCCTTTTCATTCCTGTTTGGAAAACAGTTTGGACAATCCTCAAAACATCTCCCCATGGATGAAAATAAGCCATAGTAATCAGAACAACATGGGGTGAGGAAATAAGGAATTTTCATAACTTAAAAAATGTCACTGAAACTTATGAACAGTTGAAGTACCACAGTATGCCTTAACAAAAGCTAAATATGTTGTAGATATTCACAAGATTTTGGCAAACGCCGAGCCAAAGCAACGCATATGGAGAACAACCGCCTACACTGTTGTATGTTTTTGAGAGGTGCGAGTTGCCATCGTTCCTCTATACACACTTTGTCAAGATTCGAATGGTTCTACTAACTAGTTCTTTCTCAGAAACGTGATTAGAGTATTAGCTGCTGATCACGTTTGATTTTCCACATCCTTCCCTTCATCTGCTGTCCTTCCTTTGGCTAATAAACATCAGCTCACGTCTTGTTCTTTCACCGCCGCCTCCAGAGACGCAAACAACCCTTCCTCCACATTGTTCTCTGGCCTCTTGTCTCTGTTTCCAAATCCTTGATTTTAATAAGAGCCCCCCGATGGCCCCCTCATGCTTTTGAGTGTGTGTGTGTGTGTGTGTGTGTGTGTGTGTGTGTGTGTGTGTGTGTGTGTGTGTGTGTGTGTGTGTGTGTGTGTGTGTGTTTGTGAGAGCCGGGAACTGTATGTGTTCTGTTTTGAGTGTTTAGACGTGCGTTTATGTTTTCTGTTGTGTTTTGCAGTTAGTGTAACAGGCATTTGCATTTTGTATGGAAACCCAAAGTGGTTTTCATTATGAGGCCTATACAATTTAATTGAATATATGAATATAATTATTTGAATCAGAAGCATTCTCATAAACTGGACATGTTCTGTCCTTGACAGCACTTGCACATAGAGTTCAATGTAGAAATAGAATAAAACCTTTTTTGTGTTCAGTTCCCACAGGTCATGGAATTTCGGGAATATCATGGAGCTTTAAAATGTGCGTTCCATATTTTGAAAGTCAGGGATTTTTTTATATAAATTGATGATCATGGAATTTCAAGGAATTTGTTTGCAATTTAGAGTTTGCTTAGCATTTATCAAAATAATAAAATAATATATGTATAAAATAATATTTTTAATATGTTGTTCTACCTGCCGTTTTTGCATATTGATGTGGTTAGGCTATTTTTCATTTAGATTAATTTAACCAGCAATCAAACACAGTGACTAGTTTACTTGTAAAAATACTGTCCAAGGATGGATCTTGTCTGTTAAGTCTCTCTTGGATTTATTTCGAAAAAAAAAATCAGATTATTGAGAGTTAAAATGACAATTTTCAAAGTTTGTGAAAATTTTTGTGTTGTTTTGCTGTGAAAATGTGCACATTTCTACATCTTACAGTAGTTCTTTATTTCTATTTTTGACCTCAAAAACTATTACTCTATATAATTTATAAACAGAATACACCAAGAAATAGCAGTGCAACAGATCTCTTGCCCTATCTATTTCTACCAGGAAGATTTTAAGCATGGGCGAACACAACGCACAGATAGGCGAGGGTTCTGAATAGTAACAAACTCAACTGATAAAAGACAGTGTGTCATTCTCCAATTCTCATACAGCTCACCTGACAAAAATGCTTGCTGCACACAAATAGTTTTGCTGTATCAGCCTTGACAGGAACAAATGCCACATTCCTCCGTCAGAGATGAAACCTTTTATCAACGCTTACATTTTAAACAAGTGGCAAAAGGAATGGGATGCATTAGAAAACAATAAATTACATAAAATCCAACCTGAAGTTTCACACAGAATTGTAAGACATTTTAAGAATCGATTTGATCAAGCAGTTTTTACCAGATGTCGTATTGGGCATACGAGAATAACACATGGTTTTTTACTCCAAGGTGAAAACCCTACTTAGTGTTTGTGCTGCAAAACTCCTCTTACTGTAAAACATATTTACTGGACTGTCCTGTTTTTACTGATTCCAGAAAGACTTTTTATGAAATGAACTCTTTTAAGGACATTTTTGACAAAGTGAAACCAGAAAAGATTTTAGAATTTTTATCATGTATTAACACAAAAAAAAATCTTATTTAATTTATGTTTTATTTTGTTTGTTGATTTTTAAATTGTATATTTATTGTTGAAAGATTCCTGCCATGAAGATAGCCTTGGTTGCTGACATGGCACTAAATAAAAAAATACATACATACATACATCAGCCTTGACAGCATCGCAGGAAAAACCATGCAACAAACCCCATGGATCATGGACACAAACACATACGACCCTTCATAAGCTGCTAAATACTGCGTGCCATGCACGGCTGCGATCTCACAGTTTAGCAGGTCTTTTTTCGAACAGCACATGCTGTCATGAATAATTAAGAAGCAGGTTCTTCTCGTGGGATAAGAAAACTCAGCTAAAAATAATAATAATAATGAGAAACCGACAAGTCATTTCTAGATAGGTAGGTCTGCGGTATGTCACCGATTTTGATCCCGCCTTAAAAAGGATTTTAAACACGGGAGATGAAATTGGCTGACAAAAGCTCATAATTATCCAGATTTGTTCATAATTAAAGCTATCAGGTGCTAACATTGTCTTAATTGATGCTTAACACGTATTAATCTGTTAATTTAAAAAAAAGTACTCCAGGATTTTTAAAACTTTTATTAATGAAAAATCATGTTAAAATTTCTAATTTTAATGAGGAATACAAAGAACATAGCCTTGTTCAAATAGACTTTGGCTGAATGTGCTTGCAGTAACGTCACACAATTTAAAACATTCATGAGCACTATCTATACACAAAACTAATGTTATTTAATATAAAATTATGCAGATGGCGCAAAAAAAGTCCTGTCTGTCCAAAATCTGCTAAAAATCTGCACAATTAAAAAATAATAATTGTAAGCTCCTTTTGAGCCATTTGCATGATTTTGCTTTCAATTCAGCAACCGTGGCACATATCATCAAATTCTGAAGGGACTGCTTCTACATTTGGTTTAGAGTGGGAACTCTGTGTATATAACTGAAGTGTCAACAACATGCAGCAAAATGTTTTATTCAGTCGTCTGTGTAATAGGAAGTCATTTAAAATTCATTCAGAAGTGATTTGAATAAAAGTTGATTTGAAAAGTTTGAATAATTCATTTTGTTGTTTTTGTTGTACACTATGACAAAAGTTTATCTGGATTTTTGTTGTTGTTGTTGTTGTGTGTAGTTTGGAAGTCAGTCTACAGAAGCGAAGTGAAGGCCCACTATGGTCCGAAGTGGTTTTGGGGGACCGGAGAGGAGAGTATCTGATGAATGATGAACAGAAATCACAGCTCCAGCAGAGGCTCTCGTATCTCACTTCTGAGGACCTGGTTAGTTTTTCCTCAAAATATTGTATCATACTGTTTATTTCACATTCTTTTAGATTGTTATAAATGAAAATATATCTTTATGATCAGTCTTCATATTTTAAATTCCAAGTTTAGGAAGTGTTTTCATACAAAATTTTCTGTTGGGTTTATATCAGCACTCTGGTCTGTCCATTTCATTAGTTCAGTGTTTTCAGCTTCAATGAACTGCTTTACCCATTTTTACATGTAAAAGGGCTCATTTTACTCCTGTGAGGATTCTTTCAAAAAGGACTAAAACAAATGATCAAAAAGACATTAAGAATACTCTAAATTTGTCTCTGATTTAATAGAATCCAAACCCAGAGAAGGACAAGCCGCCTTGTAATGCGCAGGAACTGGAGGACTGTGACATGTTTCCGGAGGACAGCTCCACACTAATGCGTTTTGATGGTGCAACTCTGAAGCCCAACAATGTGGTAAGTAGGTGGAATGAAATTAGCAGATTGTCTGTAGTTTGTCAGGTTTATTTAGCTTTTCTATTATTATTATTTAGGTATATTTTGAAATGGCATGTGGCAGATTTATCTACACATTGGGGTCTGACAATATTTAGGTTTTTAGTTTGCATTGACAACTAAACTCATTCCATATGGAGTTTTTTTTTTGCCAGTTTACTTTAACTTTACTATTACTTCAAGTACTGTGAGCTCAGACTGAGAACTATTTTGCTTCTATGGTAAGTGAATATGCAGTTTTTGCTGAATAATTCACATTATGTTTGTGTTTATAATAAGATAATTTGTTTACAATTCAGTCAGTGAGCGAAAACAAAACTCCAGCATTTTCAGCGATTAATTTCATGCCACACATGATTGGCTGCTGTGTTCTGAAGCTCACAAGAAACATCAGTTATTCAAGTGACTTATGTGATTGGTTATAATGCTCACGGTTACAAAATCTAATGCATTGTATTAATACAAATGGACTCATTAGCTTATTTTCACAAAATTTCATGACAGCTGTAACAAATTCAGTTAATTTGTACATTGGGATTTTTGTTATCTTCTTTGCACTTCTATTAGTCACCATTAATTTTTAACCCTAGTGTTTTGTTATTAGCTTGAACTGAACATTATGGGGGAAATTGACAGTATTGACAGTATTTTCTAGTATTTTCGTCTATTGATGTAGAAGATTATAGGGTGCAAATATAGGACTCCATTGGATTTAATGGGCTTGTTAGATGGTTGTGGTTTGCATGAAGGAAATATTAAAAGGGCACATTAATTTATGCAAAACTAATATACACCATTAACTTCAACCTATATTGTACAGGTAAAAAATTATCTTAGGACTGTTCTTTGTATGTGGTTGGGAGCAGGTTTATTTCATATAAACAGGATTAGATTGTGTAATTTCAAGTGGAGGTGCTACTGAAAATATGTACCAACTGCAAATCTTTTTTTTTATAAGAGTACTGTATTAAATTTTAAATCTGAATTTTTAAAGATAATTTAAACTATTATGTAATCTACAATCTGAAATAAAAGGTAGAAAAACGATCACCGGGGTGGCACTTTTTCAAGGGCTTTGTAGAGAATGGTTTTGTACTTTGACTTATATGTATATACACTTTAGCTATCAATACTTAATATTCTAATATAGACATTTTAGACACAAATGTGAACTTTGAAAAGATACTTTCATAGGTTTAGCTCAATCTCTGAGAGTGTATGATAATAGAAAAGACCAATATTCTCACTAGCTGTGTTTCCATATGAAGAACATATGCGAATTAGATTTTTGTGCACAACTTATATATAGAAAAAAAAACATTTGCAAATAAAGCAGTTTTCAATGCTTTAATAAAGCACTTTACAATGTAGATAAGGGGTCTCAAACTCGTGGCCTGCAGGCCATTGCGGCCAACGGGACGATAGTTTGTGGCCTCCGCCTTAATTTGATAGTTTAATGTTAGTGCGGCCTGCAAGTTTGATATGCATGGCACTTTTCTTTTGTGTGTGTGTGCGTGTGTGTGTGCGTGTGCGTGTGCGTGTGTGTGTGTGGGTGTGCGTGTGCGTGCGTGCGTGCGTGCGTGCGTGCGTGCGTGCGTGTGTGTGGAGCTGAACGAACACATCAATCACAATGGGGTATATGCCTCTCGGGGGCGGGACATTAGCTGTCACAAGCAGGGGTGTGCGTTTTTGTGTGTGATCAATCATCTTTCTTGCTTTTACAATCATGCTCAATGGTTGGTGGTTATTGTTTTGCACACAGGGAGCAGAAAATAAATCAAAGGGATGCGTACGCGGCAGGATAAAAGAGAAGTCTAATGTAGTCGTCTACAGTCACACATTGACACCTGTCCATCTGCAATAGGAGTCCCTGAAAACCCTGACCAATTATAGAGTTTCACTGTTATTTGTGGGTCATTTGCATTACCTCACACAATCAACATTACATATACTTCTATATAATGTAAAAGTAGTCATAACAAATGACAACAACACAGTGTTGCTTCTTTTTCTCTAACAACAGCACGCCGGATAACAGTACATCTAATTATTATTATTATTACTACTACTATTATTACTATTTATTACTGATTGATTTATTTTCTTATTAATTTTTATTTATTTTTGTCTAATTTTGTTTAAAATATTCCAATCTTCTCAAATCTCAGCCTCCAGTGGCCACAGGTAAATTGAGTTTGAGACCCCTGATGTAGATTGTGTCAAAGCAGCTTAACGTAGAAGTTCTAGTAAATTGAAACTGTCAGTCCAGTTTTCAGAGTTGAAGTTCAGTTTAGTTCCGTTCAGGGTGGTTTCATTTTTACTGCTGAAAGTCCAAACACTGAGGAGCAAATCCATTGATATGCAGCTCCACAAGTCCTAAACCAAGCAAGCTAGTGGCGACAGTAGCAAAGAACAAACTTCACCAATTGACGAAAGTAAAGGGGAAAAAAAACTTAGGAGAAACCAGGCTCAGTTGGGCAAGACCATTTCTCCTCTGGCCAAACTTCCTGTGCAGAGCTGTAGTCTAAGTGCCGGAGGCTGGAGAACACTGGAGGTCCATTGTGGAGAACTGCAGGTGTGGGTAGGTCACTGGCGGGGAATCATGTTGGCCCACAGGATCAATACAAAGACTCGTCTGTCTCTGGTGTCTTTCTGGAATCAGTCTCATGCTCTCCACCTCTCCATGACCACCACAGTAAGCTCAAGATACGGCTTGGTCCAGGATTATGGATACCTTGGCATAATTTCTTCACAGATTGCATCAATGGCACTACATAATCTTTAGAGGCCTCTGCATGATATCCCCAGGTGGTTATAGAGAATAAAAAAAATAATTAGCGTAGCTGCTGTTCATAGTGTATTTAAACACAAAAGGCCAAAATGAAGTGCTATAAATTAAAATAGCAGTTATTAACCAAACACAGAAACAAACATGTAAAGCAAATAAGTATTTCTAACAAAATATCTGGTGCATTAGAACAGGAGGAGTGTGTCCTACAGGTGGTTTTCAAACTTACTCACCTGCGTGGAGCACACTTATGCATCATACCTTTATCAAGTTCTTTAATCAAGTTTTGAGCTGAGAGAGTCTGTCTGAGCCTCGGACATTATCAGGAAGTATTCTGGATTTTAGGAGCCATAAATGAGAAGGCTTGACCTCCTTTCGTAGACTTTGCGATTCTAGGTACTACCAAGCCCTGAGGTTTGAGATCTTAAAGAGCGGGTTGGATTGTAGTGAGACAGAAGGTTGGATTATTTAAAGCTTTATTGGTGAAAAGCAATATTTTATAATTATTATGGAATGTAACAGTATAAGGAGGATAAAATTGTGCAAATATGGTCATATTTTCCAGACTCGGTAAGAACTCTGACAGCTGCGTTTTGCACCAACTGAAGTTTGTTAATAGAGGATTCTGGGCAACCAGTGAACAGAGCATTACAGTAATCCAGCCGAGAAGTCATAAAAGCCTGTACAAATGGCCTAGAACAAATTTGAAAAGTTTTTTTGTTTTTTGTTTATCATTTAACAAACCATTTAATTTACTGCTAATTTTTATGTAATTTCACTCACCTACCTGATAATTGAATATTTATTAGATGATGATGTAACGCTTCTGTCTTGCCACCCACCAATTACTGCATTGCTGATAAGAGTTTCGAAGACAGATGAATCTGTCCTTTACAAAAATCAACTGCACATTTCATCCAGATGTTTTTTATCTAATTCGCAAACTTGCGGACCTGGTACCGGGTCCGTGACGTCATCGTCTTTCGCTTGAAGATTTAAAGGGCTAGCATTGCACCAGAACCCCTTAAGTGGTTTCGTTTGAAATTGTAGAATCAATATTTTATGCACATATACATAACTTTGGTTTTTATTCTACTGTATAAAAGTTATTTACACTTAAAAACTCAGTTTTTCGGATACCTGAGCTGGGTATTGAACCTTGGTTCATTTTCATATAGTTCACTTATGACATGTACAAGTTATAGCTCAAATGAAAGTTCTTGCCGGTGCTCAAATGGTTCAAGCATTCTTTTTGCTGAATTATATTCACATATCAAACAGTTGTTGAATGAATCGCAGTGTTTTCATGGCGCAGAAATGAAAACAATACCTTTATGATCAATAAGCAACCCCAGATAGCACAGACAGCTGTCATCTCTTACCTTATGCTGTGCACTTCAGGGCCAGTCTCCTCTGTTTTTGAGAAGATGTGCATAAGTAATCCTTTTATATGTCTGACGTGGTCCAAACCACCAAAATTAATTACAGCACGCTAGACCACACAGAACCTAAAAGGTACACTTTCAAATTTGAGTTTATAAAAAAAAAAGTACCTCCTTTTATAGGTGTTTATTATAACACAGACAACATATACAGTTATTTGAAACACTTTTAATAGTGTTTTTCGACAATTTAAAGGGTTTTCTTTAAAATGATACCAAATTTTTGCATTTACACCTCTGCATGTGGATTTGTGAAGCTTTTAAATTTGGGTAGTCAATATCCAGGTGGAAATCCCAAAATAGCAGCAGAGTTTAACTGGTTAAAAAACAGCAATAGGTATCAAGATTACAAGTCAAATCATATAAGAAAGTTTAAATGAGGATATGGACAACGGACCCCTGTCTGAGAAGATTGTGGCAGCAGTTTATATATAATAAATGAAACAAAAATGACTGAGTCTCTTTCAGATCAATGTTTGAATCGCATTTGAACTAATTTGTCTTTTTTAAAGTCGGTATGATGCTTAGGATCGGTGCTGTAATCTTTAAATGTAATACGTTTTGAATAAAGCTGTGCTGTGATAGAGCGAGTGCAAAAGCGCAATATTGATTTTTCTCTGTTCACATCTCGTGCTGCGAGTAACAGTCTTGCGCTTGCCACATCTCTGACTGTTTCTCTTTTGACAAGCAATCATAAAAAGATAACTCACCTATAGTGAAACCACTGAAAG